GTTGGGACATGGCCATGTGACTGTGTGCTGCCAGTGGGGCTGCGGGGGTCCCCAGCTGCAGGGTGGCGGGGTGGTAGGCGAGCTGCAGGAGGTGCTGACTTGCTCACGGTGGCTGTGGCCCAGACTCTGGTTTTTCAGACTGGAGGGACCTGCTGGAGGTGTTCTCCTGACTCTGGGTCCTCCGTGGGTTCAGAAGCTGGAAGCTCCTCTAGATGTATGTGTGGTGATTTTCCACTGATGGGGTTGTAAGTGTCTCTGCCAAGTGGGTTCAAGCATTTCCCTGGCTGCACTGTCACCCTGTTGTTTGGGGAAGGCTCCTGGAGATAGGGAACATGAGTGCCCTTAGGTCAGGTTCCCCAAAGCAGGGCTGAGATGAGGGAGCGCTCTCCAGAGGAATCTGGGCAGGGACGATGCCAAGCCAGCCTCGGCCACCTTCAGGAAGGGGATTGGCCAGTGCTTCCCCAAGTCAATCAGCCATTCATTGGGTGACAGCTGATGGGTGAGGAAGCAACCTCCCAGGCCCTCTGGACCAAAGGGGTCAAGGACAACTCTCAGGATAAGGTGCAGCTATTAGCAGTTGGGAAGGGTAGCATTATGGGATAAAGGATCTGAGCAAAATACCAACGGCAACTGCTGCAGGAAGAGGATGGGAGGGGGAGTCCTACCGTGGTCTCATTCACTCCCACTCCACATGGGCCCCTCTAGAATTTGACTCTGCGCTTCTCCTCCTCTCCAGGTTGAGCCCAGGGTAGAGCCAACATACAGGACCAGGACTCTGGGTGTGAAGATTCCAGGCTACCAAGACAGACCCTCTGAGGTCCATACTCAGAGTGTGAGTTGCACCCTTATTATTTTTCTCTCCCAGCATAGGCTCCCCAAAGGCAGAGAAAGAGACTCGCTCTCCACCTCATGCCTCTGCTCCGTGGGGAGCTGGAGCAAGAGGGCCTCTTCTTCCACAGAGGAGAACAGCCGTCCCACACCTTTGGATGGAGCCCAGGCTTGACCACCGCCTCCTCACTGGCAGGGCTTTAGGTCTTTGATTTGCTTTCAGCAAAAGGCCTGGCCAGGGCACGTGGCATTATGTCACCAAGCAGTGCCATTGCAAATGTCCACGAGTCTGAGTGTGCACAGAAAAATATAGGAAGATCAGTTCTCTTCTTTTGGAGTTTGGAATATAGAATTGGTTGGCATAGGGGTGGGCGGAGGGTGGGGTCCCCCTGCTTGCTCTAATTGGTTGCAGCCAGTCCGGCAGCCTCAAAAGAAGGGATAGGGATGTGTATGGAAGGCGAGTACATGGGGAAGGGGCACTTGAGTTGCCAAGGAACCATGTTTGGAGTGGTGGGCAGAGGGCACCTCATCATGGCACTTCCTTTAAGTGGGCAGTATAGTCAAGGAAATGGAGACCCTCAGTAGTCCACCTGAGGGGACTACAGATCCAGGAAATGGTTAAGGTGAGTTTCAAACTCAAACCTGGTTGTCTCTATAACTATGTTGTCTAACCAGTAAGCCAATAGGACTTGGACACCAAATTCTGGGAATGCAGTGGGGATTGGGATTGGGTCCATGTGGATTTACTGGCTTGGTGACTTCAGATTGTCTGGCTCATCCCAGTTCCCAGGGACTTGAAGTTTCTCCCTACATGGACTCCTCTTCTCTCTCATCTACCTGCACACCCAGTCAAAATGCCACTCACAAGAATGTCCCCACCCTCCACCTGTGCTCTGTACTGGCACTGCCAAAACTAAAGTACAGATTCAAGATACAGTGATGACCACATGTCCACAGACTTTGGACTTGGCTAAATCTGAGTTTGAGTTCCATTTCTGCTGTGTATTAGTCTGATGGTCCCCGTAAGTGAATCTGCCTCTGTGCATTTCAGTTTTCTCATCTGTGTAAGGGGATAATAAAATCCAATCTTGTGGGGGTTGTTCTGAGGATTAAAAGAGATGAGTCCAGCTCTGAGTGGCCTCAAAGCTCTGCTCTTTTTGTGTCGGTGTGGTTCAAGTTCACGGACAGTGAATACCATGTGTTCTGTGGACATAAAAGCACTGGAGTGGGGAAGTTCTGGTGGTAACAATGGTAGTCTAATCAAAAACCTTGCCAACTCTGGATTTGACTTAGACGTGGAGAGAGGGTAGGGACCAGCTTGGAGGACATTGGTGCTGCACGTGTCCCCATTCCTCTTCTACCCTCAGGATCTAATCACACTTTTGAAGGCTACGCAGCTTTCTTCTCTGGTTGGGCGACACACAAAGCAGGCAGAAGCCACCCTTCCTGCCAGCTGTTCTTTCCAATGCCTGGCATGTTCATGTCCCTAGGCACAGGGAGGGCTTCAGGGTGCACAGGCCACCATCTGCTGGAGCGACCACGCCTGGGCTCAGCAACAGCCCTGCCTGCAGGAGCCCAGCCCCAGCTTTCAGCAGCTGTCTGGGTGGGTGACCTAGCAGCTGTGCCATCAGCCCCTTAGGGGCCTGTGTTTTTGTCTCTCTCAGGCCCTCCTGGCTGCCAGGCAGAGGGCCCACTGTCCTTCACCACCAGCAAGCATCTCACATTGCCCAGCCTGTGCCAGTGTTGGCATAGTCTTCTCAGTTGAGAGGCCCAGTGTCTCTGGCCTCTGTAGCTGCTCACGTGCCCCACTTGGGGACTGGACCCCAAGTGGGGTGAGGTGAACTCTTAGCCTTTACTTCCTGGGGCTTTGCCAGCTTTTCCATTTCTCTCTGACAGATCTGGAGACTTTTCAAAGGTGTCTATGCTCACACGAGTCAAAGGGAAAAATTGAATGGATGTCTCAGAAAACAGAGGTACTTGTTAAGTTGAACCAGAAGATTATTAATGCTAACTGTGGGAGTGAGTTCTAACCTGACTCCAGCTCATGATGATGAAGGTGGTGGTGATGATGGTGATGATGATGGTGGTTATGATGATGGTGATGATGATAATGATGATATGATGATGGCGATGATGATGATGGTGGTGATGATAAAGATGGTGGTGATGATGGTCATGGTGGTGATGATGATGATGATGATGATGGTTGTGATTATGGTGATGATGATAATAATGATATGATGATGGTGATGATGATGATAAAGGTGGTTGTGATGATGGTCATGGTGGTGATGGTGGTGATGGTGGTGATGATGGTGTTGATGGTTTTGATGATGGTGATGTGATGATGATGATAATATGATGGTGGTAAGATGATGGTAGTGATGATGATGATGGTGGTGGTGGTGGTGGTGATGATGGTGGTGGTGATTGTGGTGGTGGTGGTGATGATAGTGATGATGATAATGGTGGTGATAGAGGCAGTACACTATTGACTCACACTATGAACCCAACTCTGTGCTTGGTGTGCTCTCCTATTGTCCCTTCTTATGCTCAGTAACTCAAGGAAGTAGGTGCTAGAATTCCCCCTCCCATTTTTCAAATAACAAATATGGGCCCCACAGGAGTTCCTTGACTAGCCTAAGGACATATGGCTGCTAAATGTCAGTTCTGGAATTTGACCAAGTCACACTCCAACATCCAAGCTTTGGGCCACTCTTGCATGGAGTCCTCCAACACTGTGGAATGCTCTGTGAAATTAGGGAATGTCAGGGTTGCCGAGGAGTGCCTCCCATTTATAGGTGGAAAAACTGAGGCTGGTGGTCGGAACAGCCTCAGTGCTGTGCTCAGGCCAAGGCAGGCACTCTGAGAGGGTCCTTCCCTGCCGGGGTAAGCTGCAAGGTTGATGGGGCATGGGGCATATATGTTCCACATGTGGATAGAGGAATTCACTCATATGTTTTAGATACCTCAAGTGTAGCCAGGTAGAGGAGAGACAGGAAACAGCTAGAGTTGGCTCAGGACTGGGCACCACACAGAACACTTAAGTCCCCAAGTCAGCTTCCAGGATCACCACCTTCTGTCCCATTCCTCCCAAATCCCCCAACCCAGCACGTACACAGCAGGCAGCTTGCCCATGTGCATGTGTGCCCTCGTGCCTGCAGGCCATAAGTGCCCTGAGGGGCTCCCCAGTCTCCAGGGCTCCAGGCTAGATGTGCTGAAACTCCACTTGTTCGAATGAAGGCAGGCTGGGTCACAACCCAGTGTCTTGACCTGTGGACCCCTTTATGACTCAGCCCAGCTCCCCACTTCTGAAAGAAGCCCTCCATTACCCCATCTTGCTTAAGTCCTCTCTCCTACTCTGGTCCACTAATGTGCTCTGTGCCCTTCCACAGTCACACTGAATCACAGTCACACATGGCTGTGACTGTCTCCAGGACTGAAATCTGTTGAGCCAGACTGTGTTACAAATATTCCAAAGAATGCCCAAAAGATTGAGTGTATGTGCGTGTGTGTGTGCGTGTGTGTGTGTTCCTTGGTGCACACACAAGTTGCTGTGAAGAGGAGTCCAGTCAGACAGGGAGCAAGGACTGAAGGCCAGTTGTGCAGGGGTGGGGGGTGGGGGGTGGGGGCTGGACTGCGCTCTCCCTAGGAGCTGTGGGTAGGTGAGATGAGGGCTGTGGCTCATCAGCCAACATTTGATGGCATTTAGGAAAAAGCAGTCGGGTACCTCTGTGGCCACTCCAGTATCAAATTGGATTTTCTTTCTGGAAAGGGGGCCACTTGTCTTCCCAGGACCCAGGAAACAGTGAGACATAGGTGACTCCCAGACCAAGAATAAGTAATCAAGTCAATCTCAGGTTTAATTGCCCTTTGACTTCATATCTCCATCACTGGTCACTGCCACCAGGCAGACCGGTACCAGAGGTCACCTCTGGGTGCCAATGCCCCATCCCTGTCCCTCTGCAGGGAGCTAGGAGGCTTTACACAGCTGGAAACAGCTGTGCAAGGCACACACCGCAGCCAGGCACTGACCTGTGCAAACACGAGTAGAATTATTATAGCCACCCATAAACAAATTAGCATCCTTTAAAAGGTGAAAAGCTCCATAAAATGTCTGGGTTTTGTTTACAGCTTCGAGGTGGGGTGGCCACGAGTCGGATTAAATCACCGAGATGCTGGCGCTGGCTCGGTTTCTTCCCCTCGCCTCCCCCCACCACCCTTGTGAGCACACACAGGCCGGCGCACACTCACACACCCGCACATGCACGCGCAACCCGCCTGCAGTGGCCGCTCAGTCCGTCCTGCCGTTGTTCCTGCCAGCCCGGGTCCCAGCAGGTGTTCCCTAATTAGCAATCTCTTCATTTCCAATCAAAGCACAAAGCGGCCCCAAAAGCCTGTCTTTATGAGGGAGCGGAGCAGCGGCTAGGGATGTGCAGGGGGGGATAATTGTCTTCGCCAGTGGCGGCGGTAAGCGGGCTGGCTAATTCATTATTGTAATAACTTTGCTTGTCCTTGGGGAGGTGCGGGTGGGGGAGGGAAGGAGGGGAAGGGGGAAGGGACCGAGTGTGGCTGAGGGTGGGGCCAAGGGTGGGGGACAGGAGAGCAAATGAACGAGGCACTGCCCACTCCCCTTCTCTGCTCCCAGCCCACTCCCCACAGCAGGCGGGCAAGTGACAGGGCCTCACTGCAGCCGCCACAGGGGGGCGGGCCATCCAGACTTTCCCTGTGCCTGAAGGGCCCCACGTTCCAGGTGAGACCCTGGCTCCAGGACCAGGCACAGCTGCCTTCTGAGGCTGCAGGGCTGCCTCCTGGAGTCTGAGGGTCAGGTTTGTGTGGCCGGGTCCTGAAGCCAGGCCTGTGGCTTCGCAAGGGCTGGAGTGTCATGAACTCTCAGACCTTCTTCATCCCACTCCCACAGTGACGGTGACAGTAGGAACACCCCAAAGAGCTGCCTGGAGTTATAACTGTTGTCAGCAGAACGATGTGAGTGACAACTCAAGGACCCCTGTGACCCAAAGCAGCAACTCCAAAGTGGCTCTGAGTGTCCTTAAAAAGGGGACGTGATGGCTCTGGCCTGGACTGCCCCTTGCTCTGTTCTGGTATATTTGCCTGGAGTCACTTGTCCCACAGAGAGCAGGACAGAGAGGAACCCTGGTTGCTGGAGCACAGGTAGACTGAGGTCCCAGAGGCCAGGGATTGCAGTGGCCCTGTGCTCACCGGGGACTCCAGCCAGCCACAGGGATAGAGTGTCCCTGGGGGAGAAAGCATGGCAAAGGCACAGGGCAAGTCCCAGGACAGTCACAGAAGAAGGCCATGCTCAGGATCATAGGAGAGCCTGGGAGGGGAGGCCAGGCTGGGCCTCCGCAGGCTGGAGTCGCAGCTGAGGGCTGTCTTCATCTGTTGTACCCCCAAATCGGAAGCAACAGCAGCCCCTGCTAGAGAGCCTGGGACTAACTCACCCTGCCCTGAAGACGGGGCATGAGGGTGCACCCCGGGTCCTTGCTCACACTGGAACCTCGGGGTTGGGGGCAGCCTGGGCCAGAACGGTGACCAGAGGAAAAGCGAGCCCTCCAGTGCCCCCTCCCCAAAGCTGCCATCCAAGTCCTCATCATGGGGTACTTGCCAGAGGACACTGGAAATGGATTCCAGCAGCCCCTGCTAAAGCCTCCCCTGGTTCTGAATGTTGCCCTGGCCTCCCGGTGTGGTGGTGACCATCCAGCACTCCAGACGGCTGAAGTGCTGAGTCCAACCCTAGCTCCATCTATGAATCGCCACTTAGCGTCTCAGTTTCCTTATCTGTCACATGGATATGACAACAGCACATGCCTCACATGAGTTAATATAGGTGACACGCACAGTACAGCCACCACCGTGTTAGCCTCTGTGCTTCACTGTGCGAGTGGAGGCCAGGTGTGGCAAAGTGCTAGGGCACTCACCTCCCATGCAGAGGGCCTGGGCTGTATGCCCAGTGCACGCCCCACCAAAGATACTGGGGGAGGGGAGCAGGGTGGGTGTCAGAGCTTCCCACTTCCCCTCAACTGTGGCGTGGTATGGGGAAGCTGGCTGGAGGATGACACTGGGAGATGGGACTGTGTGCAGCAGGCCCTCCTTCAGTCCAGCACCTTGGGCAT